AATTGTTGCTGCATCAATAGAGGAGTAATATATCCCTTCTACCTCAAGCCATGTAATTGAAGATTTAACAATTAATGAATTGACTCATATGCTTTCAAATCAGGTGACAGCACTTGTTTACTCTCATTTGTAGCTCACTCCATCTTGAGAGATCTGGGCTAATAATAATCTAAAACAACCTCATAAAACTGGTAAGATATTACTCCAGTATCTAATAAATTAAAAGAGCAATAGATTTATATATCCTGCTCCACAAAGATACCATTTATTTGATTTTGGCTTAGGGCAATGTGTGAATCCAACTACTGTTATTTATAATCCACAGCTGATGGCTTTTGAATTACGTGTGAAGCAGTCCACAATGGTTGTCCAACAAATTCTGGTTAAAGCAAATTGTGGCTTAATACAGTGTGTGAAACAAAGCAATGTTTGCTTAACCTCATTCATCCAAAGCCAGGATTCTTAATAGCCTTTCTGAATTCTCCACTTTCAGAGAACATCTACATGAAAGGATTTCTACGGTAAAATGGCTAAGGTTGTTTTGGATTGTCATTGTTATCTTAAAGAACAGGTATAAAACAAGAGAACTATTTTCTTGCCTCTGCATTTTACAGTAGAAAAAACTCACATAGAAAGTGTTGTTGCCATATAATTATTTGCCCAAAACTTTAAACCTGTTAAAAATGACACACTTTTCTCATACAGTATAGACTCAGCACACAGATATGATCTAAGAAAAATTTTAGGCTGAACTTTAGAATTACAAAGGACTATAATGGAGGTAGCAGTGGCTGGACCTCTACTATTGTTATTACAAACTTCTTAGAATAAGAGGAAAATTTTGCTTAATATGAAGGTTGAGTTTGTTCATTTGCGGCTTGTGGGTAGCAGCTTACCGAGCAAACACATTATTGGTACATGCTCTCAACCAGCTCCTGCTGTTCTGCAACTTGAACAGCAAATAAACAAAGGAAGCCTGAAGTTTCAACATAGCCTTAAAGAATACTTGGCTAAGAAGGTTTATATAAATCTTGTGCAATTCAAAACATTTACTGTACACTGATGCCCCCTGGTGCCTGATGTTTTCCAGATATGCAACTCCCCAAACCTTAGGGATTTTATTTATTTATGAGATTTATACCCCCCAATTGGAGTCAACTTTAAGTAAGGTAAGTCCTGATATTCAAAATCACATCTTCTAAACTTTACCAGTTGGTACTTTTTTTTTTCTTGGTGGTTAACTCTAGCTGGGATGAGCTCAAATGTGGAAGACTCCAGGATTAAATCAGAATATACCAATAGAGTTCATGAATTATTCTGCCAGAATTTGTTTCAGACATGGTTTAATGAACAAGCCATAGTGGGCTGGTTCATACATAATATTAAGCTATAAATCATGGTTTATGACCACTGTGGCCTAGTTCACTAAATGTACTAAGCTAGGCTTACTATAGCTTCTTTGATTTTAGCTTAGTGGGTTGCTAGAATCCATGTTTTGTGGTTTAACAAACCTGAGTGTAAATAAAAATACTTTAACATGACATGTGATCTTGTCACTGGTTGCTTTGTACATTATACTGTATGAAACCAAACAAGCCACCATATTATGGCTTTGTTTGATGTGTGAATCTAAGTATTAAATATTGATCCTCTGCCAGCATTACACTCTAGCTTTCCTCATTTGTTGTTAAGACACAGAATATATGGGAGATCCGGATGTAAATCTCTCATGTCCTGCCTAGTTTTACCTTAAATGTTGTTCAGAGCACCTATATTCATATGTAATGGTAAGCCAGCATTCTTGGTTTTATGAACTTATGGTAAATAAGCAGAGAGCTGATGCACATGAACCTTTTGCTTACACTCTGTTTCTCCTGCTTACAAGTGAGTTTTAAAAAAAAAAGCCTTGAAAGTTGATTGTTCATTCTGAACCTGGAATTTGTTGCTCCCAAACAACCCAGGAGCAGGAATCAGCAACTTGAATGAGTATTTTTCCTTTGCTTATGAACTATGGCAGATTGTTTTGGGGTGGTGATCCCCAGAGGGACATGCATTCTTGCTTGGCAGGCTTACCTGGTGAAAACAGCTCGGTGTGTGAACGCCTCTGGTGTTTTACGCTTTCTTTTCATATTCTGAAACATTATATTGAGTAATCCAAGATACTATGTGAGATTCCAGTGTTTACCACTGGATAAACTGTAACAGCATACTTTTGGTAGTCAAAAGCTCCTATTCGTATATAAACTATGAAGGATTTTTTAAAATTTACATGCTGAAACCTATCAGTCCAAAGGTCAGGAGTAGTGGTCATGTTATGTCTCTTTCTTCTGCATTATGACCATCTATTGCTAGCTCTTCAACCAACAGCCTTGGCAGTCTGGTGGAAATGTGGTAAAGAGATCTAGCTAAGAGAATTGATAATCAGCAGAGAAATTAAATTCTAGTTAGTTGTCACATATGTAAATAAAGTGAAATATACTCATATTTCTAACCAGATGTTTTGCATACATGCTGTTGTTGCTAATTGTTACTTTTATACCACATGTGTTACTTAATTATTTTACTCATTGTTTTATGGGGAGGATTTTATTATTCATTTTTAATCTGGTTTTGCTGACATTATTTTCTTATTATGTTGCTATTGCTTTATTAAGAACTATTTTACATTTTTTGTAAACTACCTTGTACATTTTCCTATAATGTGGGGTATAGTTATATCAAATAAATGAATAAATCCCAAGTTGCATTTAATATTTAAATATTAAATCTGGCATTTAATTCTTAAAAATGTATTTTGAATTCCTCAACTAAATTCATTTTTAGATATGCACCACATGCAAAAGCTGAAATCTAATTTCCAATCTGATAATGAACAGAATGCATTCAAAATTATTTCTCAATCCTTATTTTATCAGTTTTATTCATTCAGTATCAGAAGGAGCAAATGAAGATTATTTATTTGCTAGGTTTATATCTCATTCAAGAGATCAAGGTGGCATATGTAGCACTGCCTTTTCTCATTAGCCACTACACTACACTAGCTTTTACTGGATTTAGGTTAGAAAAATTATACTCCTTGCTCCTTTATGTGTTGGCTTTGATGCAAATTGAGGCTTTTATTATTGCTTTTAGAGTAAAAAATTGCCTTGGGAGAGGTAATCACAGAGATCTCTCATAACATCCCTTACAGTGGGCACAAGGCCAGAAGAGCACCCAGAGACAAAGCACCTGCAAGGGCACTGGGAGTCATGTTTTGATCTGGCAATACAGAAATACAATCAATCAATCAATCAATCAATCAAAGCTTGAACAACAGTAGAGAAAAAATGATCAAAAATTTAAACACACATCATAAAGCAGAGTTATCTCCCTGGCCCTTTCTGCTTATAATTTCATTAAATTTCTCTGTATGCAAGCAGAAACCAATACTGTAGAAATATTTCCCCACCACTCTGTGTTGATGGAGGTTTGAGCAAAAGAGGAGGAAATTAAATTTGATCGACAATACATAGTGCTGAAATAAAGTCCTTTCAGACACAGGGGTCTTTCAGTCAAACAACTTTAACATCACTATTATACTCCTAGAATCTCTTGTGCTTATTTCTAGAGATGTATAACATCTCCCTTTGACTTATTCCGGTAAAATATCTGAGCTTTTAAAATTATTCTTATTCATTCACGCTTGGGAACAGTTTAATAAAAGAGCAGCCTCCTTCTATACAGTCTTTCTCCTTTTAGGAATTATCTCATTAAAGATGCAGCCTTTTAAATTATTGCCCCAAATCCCCTGGCTTTTCAACTCCAGCTTTTAGGCAAGCCTTGTAAATCTTCCAGCCTGAGATTGCCCTTGACTGATTTCCTATGACAGAAGCAATTTTTGCTTTCTTAAAAACATTCTCATGCAAACACCTATAATTTGAACCTTCTTCCTCAAGTTTTAGACTGTAACTCTAAAAAGCAGTTTTAAAATTATTTATGTATAAACATAAGTACTGTATATGAGATGCTTGACCGTCAATGTCTACCAGTATTTCCCATTAAAATGTATTCTGTAATGCCACAATTTACAACCCAGGCCCTTTAAATCTATCATTCCAAACTTTTGTTGTTAAATGCATTTACTATAAAACGTGCAAGAACTGTCAAAACAAACTGTAACTGTAATAATGCATTCAATACAAACTATCCTATCTAAAAAATGCTAATTGGAAAATAAGGCAACGGAAATAGTTTTTGTCTGATGCCCAAATAAAATGAGCATTTCACAAGGGGCATTTTTATACGGCTGCAAGAATCATGTCGGCCGGTGGCTGGCAGCCAAGAGACCCTCACCCTGTGACTGCTGCTGACATCGAGTGGTCGCCCCACGTTTTGCACGATACCCTTAAAATCCCCACGGACCTGCGTAAAAAGGCCACTGAGCTAGCTCAAAGCGTTAACCTCTAGTAAACCGTAGCAGAGTAACATCCACGATGTAATCCTAGGCACACATACCTGAAAGCCAGGCTCACTGAATTCAGTAACGCTGTTAGTCATACATCGAATTATTTCGCTTTAATCCGATGCAGATTTACTCAGGAGTAAATCCCACTTAACGGAACTGGCGTCTGAATACATATCTCCAGCATTCTACGTGCAACCTTACGACCGTGTGTAGTTCAGGTAAAGAAGGAGCCGGTACCACGCCGTTATCTCCGAAGAATCATCACAACCAACATTGCGGCCTCCTCCAAACAGCAACAACACCAAGCTGCCCTCGGTTGCCATGACACCGAGCCTCGTTTTCAGATAACGGCGGTTGAACCAGTCTGAGCATGTGCGTCTCGCGGCTAGGACGCATGCGTACAAGCACTTGCTTTCCCTCGGCTCACCCAGTCAGCTACCGCTCCCTCGAATGAGGTGAAGGAAGGCGGAGGTGGGCTGTCCTGTCTTAGGCTTCTGTTGTGCGCCTGCGCGGAGAAAGGAAGAAAGCTCGGGCCTCCCTGGTGCGCGTGCGCAGTTGTGGAGGCGTCGGCAGTGCCTCGGTTTGACAGATAAATATTTTGTCCTCCTCGCTTGGGGGTTGTTTTTTTGCTGTCGTTTCTGCTTTTTTCTTCCCCGGGTCTTTAGAGGTAACCATGTCGTACGGACAATTGGAGACTTATCGGCCTGGGGGGCTTCCGCCTCGGGACTTCAGCACCATTATCCAGACCTGCAGCACCAATATACAGCGCCTGGCACAATGCAGTGAGTGATGCTTTTGACCTCTTTGGCCCACACACTCCCACCATCTCCTGGATTATCCCCCTCAAAAGAAATATGTTTCCTTTAGAAATGTTTCCCTTTCTTGCTCCCCTTCCCATGTCGCTAACCTCTTTATTTTAAATCATTTATATTGCTTTTTTATTTGTAAAATCCACGAAACTTCCTAACGTTTAAAAAAGTGTATATATTTAAAATGTTAGACACTGAATCTTCCGTCTTGGGATCAGAAATATAGTGGCAAGCAGTTCCAAAGTCTAAGAGAACTTTGTCCATCTTGAGTCAAAGTTAATCAGCAGAGGATTCTTTAAAAGATGTATACTCTCTCTTTCTAGGCATGATCACTGAGGCTACTTGCATGCAACGTTTTAGAATACTGTTTGTCCATAATAATAATAATAATAATAATAATAATAATAATAATGATGATATCTACCCCCATTCTTACCTACTGATTGTTCTCTATATCAAGGTTTTTAAGAATTTTGTTTGTAGTCTTAGTGTGATAGAGATGGTAGTGATGTACTGTAAATATTTAAGCATCAGATATTTTTAACAAAAAAATAAAACAACACATTAAACCTACATTAACAAAAGAAACTACACTCTATGTTAATAAAAAAGGAAATTGGCCAACATTTTAATTATTGTTTCTGATGCTTATGAAATCTAATGCAAAACAAAACAAAAACCCTACTACAGGGTTTCTGGAGTAAAATGAAAGGAGGTCCCTTGTAAGCTGCCTGAAGTTCTTGGAAGAAAAGCAGGAAATAAATATAACAAATATTAAATAATTATTAGTAGCCTAAGTACTTTTTGTTGGCTATAACGAAAACAGCTCTATATACATAATAAGATATTTAATGCATGTACATTTTGAGGATTCTGAATTTCAAGTGTTTACAAAATCTGCATGTGTTTGGTTAATGCAGTGCTCCTGTGTGATCATCACATAACGCTATCTAGATACTAGAGAAAAGCACTTTCTCTGAAGTACTGTAATCATGTTTCTAATAAGATACAAATTTGCCATACTGTTATTCTTGTCTTTTAATTTCAAACGTAGCTTATCAGTCTTGAGACATGAAGTGGGTACCTGTGCCTAGAAAGAGGCATGGATTGCTTCTGAGGCTAGATTGATTGATTATGGGCCCTCAAATCATTGTCAACTCTTAGCAACCACATAGATAGGTTTTCTCCATGACAATCTGGTCCTTCAGGTCTTCCAACGGTGTACCCATCACCACTGTAACTGAATCCATTTACCTTGCTGCTGGTCATCCTCTTCTCTTTCCTTCCACCTTTCCCACCATTAGAACCTTCTACAGAGAGCTAGATCTTCGCATAATGTGCCTGAAGTAGGATAATCTGAGCCTGTCTGAGACTAGAGGGGGGAGAAATTCCCCCTTTGTTTCATTCTTTTTTTTTTTTTACATGCCAGTCTGCTGTCTCTCTGTGAGCAGTTGCTTTTAAAAAAAAATATGAGAAAACTTAGGGTTAGAGTTAAAACTTAGTCAATGCCTGCAATAATTGTGTTGATTTTTGTTGTGCCCATGTAGCAGCACCAGTATGCTGTATAGTTCATGGATATGTAAGGAAACTGGTAGATTGCCCCCTTAAAATGTTCCCTATGTGTAGGATTTTTTTTTATTTTTTTTTGTTCAATCATGTCCAATTCTCAGAGACTGCCTGGACAAGTCCCTGCAATTTTTTGGCAAGGTTTTTTCAGAAGTGGTTTCTCATTGCCTCCTTCCTAGGGCTGAGAGAAAGTAACTGGCCCAAGGTCACTCAGCTGACTTTGTGCCTAGGCGGGACTTAAAATGTTCCCTTTACATAGTAATGGTCTGTAATTCATCGGGTCAGTGCAGAACAATGTGTGTTCATGTAAAGCAAAGTAGTAGGCATCTCATTCTTCTCTCTGCCATCCATGCATGAAGATATATTTTTGTTTATTTATTTATATCCCATATTCATTTTTTTACAACTCAAGGTGGCGTATTTAATGCTCCCACCTCCTATTTTCCCCACAACAACTCTGTAAGGCAGGGTTCCTCAACCTTGGCAACTTGAAGATGTGTGGACTACAACTCCTAGAATTCTGGCTGGGG